TATATATATATATATATATATAGGTGAGGTTTAGCTGTGAAGTTTGGGCTCTCTCCCTTCCAGGATAAGTTTGGGGATTTTCTCTTCCAGGATCGCTAACCAGGAACGGGCTGGGCCTTGGTCAGCAGGTGGTGAGCAACTGCATTGCACATTACTTGTTTGTATATTCTATTATTACTACTATTATCACTATTATCTTCTTTCAGTTGTTACATTGTTTTAATTCCAACCTACGAGTCTCTACCTCTATCCCACCAATTCCCTCCCTCCTTCCCTGCAGCAGGGGAGGGTGAGTGACTGGCTGCATGCTGTGTGGCCCCAGGCCCTGTTTAAACCATGACACTGATTCATCCACCTGAAACTTTCTGCAGTGGCTGTTCTGATGCTGCAGTTTTAAACCATGCAACAAATCCAGCAATTTACCTGCAATCCATGCTTTGCATCAACCACAGATATTATACCTAAAAGAGAAAATAAAAATGAAACAGATACATGCTTGAAGCAGCTAATGTTTGCTAACCATGGGCAAACTTCCTGTACAACTACGAAGTAACAGTACCATTACATTTACAACTGGTTGTAATGCTTTCAGTGCTTCTCATGCATCTGAACGTTAGATATCTAATTATTTTATTTCTTAGTCATACCTGTGGTAAATAAATGCCTACTAAAAAAGGTGAGATAAATTCTCACAAGGTGGGTGCCTCTCCTCCTTGTTCCCCAACAGTAAGTTGGCAGAGGTATGCCTGCACTGGTTATTGAAAGAAATTAAGGGAACTGGATGAGATATGCAATTATTCTGACTGTAAGCATTGGGAATCTAAAATTCCCTCGATGAAACTTACAAAGCTGCTCAAATTCAACTGAATGTTTCTTTGGCTAGATGAGTATTTCAGAGTCCAGATGTTGACAAGTTAAGAAGTCAGAAAAAAAGGAAATGTCTTGGGAAACACTGCACTGGGGGCAGGAAAAGCTGTAATATTACTCCTAAATCATGTTTTGTAACATCTAGCTAATGAGTTTTTTCTCTCCCCTTAAACCACCATCAAGGTCTCTCCATATCTGATCCCACAGCAAAGCAATACACAACTTTTGTTAGATTTAGTAAAACTGAAACAGTTCACCAAGTGGATAAACAGCATCACAATAAGCTAGTGGATCTCTGTGGCCATATCTGGAGATGTGAGAACCAAGATCATGCATTTCAAACATTTTCTAAAACTCTGCCTTAACTGACAAGAATACATTACACTAAATCCAGATGTGGAATGCAAATATGTTGGAAAACAAGCTTGACTTCTTACCATCAAGATAGATGTCACTTCCCAGCTCAGAATCAACCCAGAACATCGAGGCCACAGCTCCTAAGAAGTCCAGTACAGTTAGTTCCAAAATTGACACTTCCCAGTGAACTATCAATATTCAGATATTTCACAGAAAATCTCTTTGTAGTGCTCTAGCTAAAACACCTCTTTTCCAAATTCAGGAAGCATCATAGATATCAAATACCTAATGACACACTTGATCCAAAACCAGCTAACAAACCATTACACTCATGTGCACATCAGCAGCAATGACTACAAAAAAGTTTTTTTTAAAAAAAAAAAAAGTAAAATCACAATTCATAGAATAGAATCATAGAATGTCAGGGCTGGAAGGGACTTCCAAAGGTCATTTAGTCCAGCCCCCCTGCCATAAGCAGGGACATCTCCAACTCGA